ACGGAAGGTTTCCAGATGGATATGCAGAGCAAATCCAGCGAATCCATCTGGCGCAGTCAGGTTACTGACAATCTGCAATTGGTTCCCTTTCCAATGGCAAAAAGGCTGGTCTTAGCCCTCACTGTCTGCTGCTTCTGCCAGTGGGAAAGAGGTAAATCAGACAAGGAGCGCCCTAATCTGAGAAGCAGTCAAGAGGCTCATCTGAACTATTGAGGCATTGCAGGTGCAAAGCCACAAAAGTCTGTCTCAGCTTTGCACATCTTCAAAACCACAAAACTGTTTTTTTTCTTCTTTTTTTTCACAAAACTCTTAGAGGCTACCAGACTTTTTCTCTGTTTTTCTGAAGATGCTTCGACAGCTATCCGTGAGTCTTTGTCACTTCAGTCGGCTCACACCAGAGCAACACGGAGGTCCATCCTTCCAAGCACATTCCAATCCAGATGAAAATCAAAGACCCATCTGTCATTTTCCTGGGTTCCTGAAGTATTTTTGTGTGTTTTGGGTTATATGTTTAAAACATGACGAGGGAGCTTATCAGCGTTCTGACTACAGATTACTGTGGTACGAGCCGACAAAATTACCCAGAGTTACATTCTAACTACTTACATTTACTTTTTAATCTACTTTTCTTTGCTCTAATTTTTATTTTAAGATGAATAATATCTACGCAAAATGTGTGTCTACTGCTTGGACTGTATCTTTACCGATTAATGAAAAACCTTGTCTTTAACAAAAGGCCTGCAGACTAAAACACAGTTAATGTTGATGGAAAATGTTTGTTAAATACCATTTATCTGGTGAACCAACCATGACATTTGATGCACAAGCTAATTAGGCTAATTAATATACAATGAAAATAAATATTGTCACTAGAGGTCATTTTCACACTTAAAAATAAACCACCTATTTGTTAAAACAAAGATGTGTGTCTTCTGCCTGGATTTGTTGGAATTGTTACCAATTATGTTATTTTTATTCATTTGTTATCTAATTTAAAAAACCTGAATTAGCAAATAACTTTGTATTTTGGTTTTATTACATACATTTTAAATAGTAAAAATACTCAGTTCTTGAGTAACCTTTCCATTAAATACGTTCTGGATACTTTTAACTCTATTTTTTGAGTGAAACACAATGCAGTAGTGCTATTCTTATCTGAGGAGTTTTTTTGGTACACTACCGTTTAAAAGTTTGGGGTCTTAATTTCTAAGAACAAGAATAGACTGTCGAGTTTCAGATGAAAGTTCTTTTTTTCTGGCCATTTTAGCGTTTAATTGACAAATGTGATGCTCCAGAAACTCAATCTGCTCAAAGGAAGGTCAGTTTTGTAGCTTCTGTAACGAGCTAAAGTGTTTTCAGATATGTGAACATGATTGCACAAGGGTTTTCTAATCATCAATTAGCCTTCTGAGCCAATGAGCAAACACATTGTACCATTAGAACACTGGAGTGATAGTTGCTGGAAATGGGCTTCTATACACCCAGGGGAGGATCTAGGATTCTAGGAGATCAGGGGCTTAGCCCCGAGAGTGAAGATGAGCATGTAGACTTTCTGCTAAATCCCGTTCTAATGTAAAATATGACAGATTACTGGATTAAAGAAATTTCTAGTATACTACATGCTAACACACATAACAATTCCAGCTCCATAACATGGGAAGAAATTCATTTACCTGCAAGTCTTTAACTGTGTTTATTTCTTTCTTCAACAACAAGCTCTGTGGAGACAGTTGATCATTATTTGCCAAAGTTATGAAGGGGAAATCATATATTTTAGCCACCTGATATAATCTGCTCCCCCATAACATAGGAAAAATTAAACAAATCCTGTGAATTTTGAAACTGTCATTATTTTTCTATATTATGTTTGAAACATTTATTATTTTATATTTTGAAATCTTAAATAGTTAATAAAAATATGTCAATTCTCAATTCAAAATGTCTGGAATAGCATTACTTCAGACATTTTGAATTGAGAAAGCTCTCTGGATGGAAAAAAAACTTCTTCAAATTTGGAAAACAAAGTCCAGCTGTTTTGGTTTGAACTTTTCTTTTGAAATATATTTGTAAATTGTTGGATAAACATTTAAACAGAAAAGAAATTTCATAAAGATCATCAAAGGGTAAACAGGTTATATCAGGTGGCTAAAATATACGATTTCCCTCTCATAACTTTGGCAAATAATGATTTAATGTCACCAAATCCACAGGATTTGTTGTTGATGATGAGAGGAATAAACACAGTTAAAGATTTGTATGTGAATTAATTCCTTCCCATGTTATGGAGGAGGAACGGAATATTCCAGGCAGCTGAAATATCCATTCTCTTCTCCCATATGTTTAGGAAATAAACAGCAACTGTTTCCAAATTCTCAAAAAATGTTATGTTTGATAGCATGTAGTATACTAGAAATTTCTTTAATCCAGTAATCTGTCATATTTTACATTAGAACAGGATTTACCAGAAAGTCTACTCTCTCATCTTTTCTGGAAATCTTAATTTTTGTGTCCTGCTATCAGCCAGTTTCCGTCCTCTTATATCAGCAGTGAAAAATGATAAATACTTCTGACTTTTATTTCTGTCAGGCTTAACTGACAGAAGTTGGAAAAAGACAGATTCTCTTGGTGTTTAAAAAATAACACAAAACAGCTTAAAAGGACCTCGTCTATTTATTTATTTTACAATTTTATAGAGAACAGCTGCTGATTAAACTGGATGTTACAACATTGACATGAATGAAAATGGTCCCATCCGCCATGTTCGCCTCTGGCTTCAATGCACGCTCCCGACACAAGGGGAACAGAATTTTATACAACTCCAGGACAAAGAACGTCTGGAAGTCAGTCAGAGCTTCACATACCTGGGACTAGAGTCCTGCAACGGGTTGGGTCACCCGCTAAAGTGCTCTTCTGTGGGTGAAAAATACATAAATAAAAATAAATGGGTACGCGGGGTCGGGCAGATATTTTTTTAGTGCGGGCAGGTGGTTGGTGATTTTTTTTTTTTTTATGCTTGTGTTGTTATGGACATCAGAAATGTTATATTAATCAGGCTCTGGGGTCACCCTTGTTGTAGCTTAAAGCCCTGCCGGCAGTGTGGGCTTCCCTCCAAAAAGGCCACAGTCAGTGCATACACGTCTGCTGCAGTGTTAATGGCGCTGTTCTGCAGCGCAGCGTACTATAGCATATTACTTGATGTGTTAACTGGTCGGGTTGCGGGTTAAATATCAACGGGTCGGGTCGGGTTCGGATTTGAATTGAAGATATCCGCGGGTGACGGGTCGGGTTCGGTAGTCATCCTAACGGGTTCGGGCGGGTGCGGGTTGGTAAAACTCGACCCGTGCAGGACTCTACCTAGGACATCAGTCTGTTTAGCAACAGCTAGTGGGGACTTCTTCTGCACAGGAATGCTACAGGCTGCTTCCCTGCACATTCTGCCACTCTCTGGTGAATACCAGTACTGCACATTTTACTCTGATCAGCTCAGAAGCGAGATCCGGGGCTCTTGGGGAAACATCCAGGGCTGCACCCCAAGTAGCCACCCCCTAGATCCGCCACTGTATACACCTATGTAGATATTGCACCAAAAACCAGACATTTGCAGCTAGAATAGGCATTTACCACATTAGCAATGTATAGAGTGTATCTCTTTAAAGTTAAGACTAGTTTAAAGTTATCTTTATTGAAAAGTACAGTGCTTTTCCTTCAAAAATAACGACATTTCAATGTGACCCCAAACTTTTGAACGGTAGTGTACTTTAAACACATCTGGAATTGACAAACTTCTGGATAGGTGTCCAAACTCCTTCAGAAAAACTGAGCTAAAGTCCAGTTGACTCAGATTTAGGCCTTTTTTCTGTTTTGTTTTCATGACCCGGATGACTGAGAATTTACACAGGCAAATCTGTCAAAATTACTGGTTTGTTTGGACTCCAAAATGTAGGCTTTTATTTAGGATTTACAGAAAGGAAGAATGATCATGGAAAAAAGACATGCATTTACACATTGGGTTGGCTGATCAGGTGAAGAAAAATCTGAACATTTTGACTTAATCGGATAGAAGGTTACATCATCTGTGCATAATGGAAGCATGGTGGAGGAAGTATTATGCTGTGGGGATCTTTTTTGTATCTGTTCATGAGAAGGTTGCTTTTAAGAAAATTAAGGAAAGTTTTGTTCTCTGTACTGAGCTATTTAAAGCTATTTAAAAAAAAATAGCAAAACATTTCAGTCATTTGTCACAATTCAATTCAGTTTATTTCTATAGCACCAATTCACAACACAAGTCATCTCAAGGCACTTTACAGTTCAACCAGATCATCCAGTCAGATTGATTCAAAGTTTTCTAAGAAAAACCAGCTGATTGCATCGACTCATTGACTCGAAGGCAATCCCTCACACTAAGCATGCTTGTAGCGACAGTGGAGAGGAAAAACTCCCTTTTAACTGGTAGAAACCTCCAGCAGAACCAGGCTCAGTGTGAGCGGCCATCTGCTGAGGCCCACTGGGGTTCAAGGAGACAGAAGCAGACAGAAAAAGAAGCATAGATCCATCCATCCAGTTAGTCACAGTCAGAGAAACAGGACTACACTGGAAAAAAAATATCTTTAAAAATATTAACTTTTTAATAACTTTTTATTTTTAATACAATAAAATATTATGCATTTTGTGGTTTTAATTAATCAAAATAGAAAACTTTTCAGGGTATAGTCCTGTTTATGAAAGATATTTATATTAAACATTCATTTATTTCATTTGTGAATCACCTAGAGGGAGAATGCAATGTTCTCCTTGCTGCATAAAGCAGCAGAAGCATTTCTCAACACAACCAGGTCACTGGAGGTCAGGTTGATGTGGTGCAGTTTGGTAAACATATGGATATGTCCATATGTCCTGGGAATGTCCTGCTCAGGGTAGTTTAACGCTCTGTAGCTTAACCCCTCAGTGTGTGAGGTTTCCTATTATGGTAATTTATGCTGAGCCACACCTCTTTCTCTCAGGCAGGAGGGAAGCATTACCATCCCACATGCGCTCGATGTGCCCGCTGTAACACCATGTTCAAAGAAGGGGAAGAAATGTACCTGACAGGTAAATCCCCCCCCTATCAACCTCAGAAGTAACCATTGTCACTGAATGCACCGTATGTGTCGAAGCCCAAGTTTCTTTCCTCCTTGTCGTCAGGTTGTGAGGTGTGGCACCCGTTATGCAAGCAGGCGGCGAGGGCAGAGAGAAGACTTAGAGTGAGCTGAGTTTGTTTAAAAACAAAACATCAGATGAATAAAAAGACTTTACATCTTTACTTTTCTTTGTCTGATATTGTCTTTTCAGCCCAGACGTCTATCAGAGACCTCAATCTCCCCCCCAGGATCCTCCATTGGTTCTCCAAGCAGAGTTATATGTGTAAGTAACCAATAAATCCACAGCTGCTATATATTGTTTGCTTTAGGCATTTATTTTACCGCAGAAAAAAACCCCAAACAACTCCTTAAAGTTGGATTTCTGCGCACTAAAACTCACAGCTTTTACTCCCTTGGCCTGGTCACCCGTCTGTGTCTCACCTCGTCTGGTGGCGTCCTGCTAACCAGCTTGCTGCTAAAGTGGGAACACTTTCAAATTGGTAATTTTCTCATCAAAAATCCAGGAACTGCATTTTGAAAATTTTTGCTGGGATGTTCGTGTCTGTTCAGAGATTCCAAAATGAAATGGAAAGGATTTTAATTTATTTAAAGGGACAGTGTGTAAGATTTACCTTAATCTAATGGTGCACTAAATGAATTACAATCGACAGACTGGTGCTGCCCCGTCAAGGTGTGAAACGTACTACGGAAGCCTGGGAGTGACATTCTACTCTCTCTGAAAGAAGGAGACACGTCAGTGTCTGTCTAGGGCTGCCACAAACGATTATTTTGCCAATCTGTCGATTATTTTTTGGATTAATTGATTATTAATCGGATAGCCAAGGCTTCCAGACAGATTTATTTATATATAATATAATATAATATATTATATATTTTCTATTCTATTCTATTTGGTTTCAGATCAGTGAGCTGAAACAGGGTTCGTACACCTTTTCCAAAGTCAAAATCAAGCACTTTCAAGATCCATTTTAAAACTTTTTCCAGCACCTTACGGAATCAGTTTTGCGCGGATGACTGCCGGAGGAATTTGTCAGAGCACAACCTAACCAACCAGAGGGTGTCGCAATTCAGTATTATCAGCCGTAGATTTATCAATGCTGTTTTAAGGTCTGGGCCTGGCAATGAATTAAAGCTTCGGTTTTTTTTGTTTTTGGAACGTTGACGAGGTGATACCGCAGATAGTGCTGCGGGAAACAATGCAATACTAAACATTACATTATCACACCATACTCTCAGTCACTCAGTAACTTAGCCTGTGAATTCCTAGCTAGCAGTTACTAGCGTAAACAAATAGGCGCTAACATTAACGTGTACTAGGCTGCTTCAGTTGGCTTACTTAAAAAGTCGATGACTTACCCTTCATGTGACTCGACAGCGCAGACTCGCCCATTGCTAAAAGCTGCACATCTTTTTTGCAGACTTTACAAGAGGCAACTCGTGGGGTTTGTCCCCGTTTAATCCATAATTTGTATTTTTCATCTTCCAGCCAACGTTCATTGAAACGACAACCTCCCGGCATGGTGCAGTAGTGGTTTCATGGGGGCGGAGTCACACATGGAAATAGACTGGCAGATCGCAGTCACACATAAGCGAGCAGGTTTCATTTTCGGGCTCTCCAACATTTTATTTCTCCATTTAATAAACACACGATTCAGTTAGATAGGCATTTGTTGCGAAAGAAATTGTTACAATTTCAAGCATTTCATCCAAAATATAAGCACTTTTCAAACCTTGAAAACACAACGTCAAAATGCAAGCATTTTCAAGGATTTCCAGCACCCGTACATACCCTGTGAAAGCCCTTCCTTTGTTGGTGGCAGTTGAGAAAATCGGATTAATGTTAACTCAGTCAGATTTCCAGTAGCTTGCAGATTTTTGATCCCCTTTACTTGGTGCATATTATTTACGGTGCAGTGACAAATTTAATTGATTTATTTGATATTTGATGTAATAAACCAATATAAAGTTGGACGTAATAAAAAAAAAGCAACTTTATTCATTGTTTTGAAAAAAAAAAGTGTTTTGACATAATTTGCATTCAGCTCCCTTCAGAAACGTTTTAATATTTGAAGAAAAAAAAATGCGATTAATTGGAGCAAGTTAACGAAACGATGCAAAGCATAAAATCTTCATATATTTAAGTGCGCTTGGCTTTGATAAACAGGACCTTGAGTTACATTAGCAAACTATCGCGCACCACGGATCGGTAATGAACTTCACTGTCAGGAAGTATTACTGATGTTGGATGTCAGTTGGAGACAGAAATAGAAGTGCGTATAAACGGGACTGAAACGGCAAAATAAATGCAGCAAATAAATTTCCAAGAATTCTCTTGTCTTTAGCTATGACCTCAAAAGCAACCACTACTTTAATTTGTATAAAGTAAAGCCTTCCTGATAGCATAATGCTGCCAACGCCAAGTCTTACAGCTGGGATGCTTGTGTGTTAAAGATTATCTGAAGTCTTAGTTTTGCTCGATTAATTAAATTTTTAATTTTTTTACTTTTTCCACCCTCTCACACGTATTTATTCTGTTCCTAACATGGTTTGTGGCAAACTGAAAAATCTCTGCAGCTCTACCAAATTGATCAGGCCTCTTGGCTGCTTCTATGACTCTCCTTAAAGCCGCAGGGTATAAAAGTTCACAGCTCACAATGTTTGTTCTCACACTGTGCGACCCGACGCTCTGCTGCGATCTACCTGCTCACACTATATGTCTGAAAATCACGTGGGATTCAGCTCCGGAGTGAGATGGCGCTACTCGGACTCGGCTATCCGGAAGCCAAACGAGTAGAAGAGGAACATGAAGCTCACTAGAGTGAAACGCGCTGCCTTGGCTATTTGTGCAATTTAGTGCTGAAAGTCCTAAAAAGAAAAGGTGACAATGTATTTTGTACAAAGACATGGCTGAGCAAACGTGGCTACTACGGTCTGTCAATTTTACAGAAAGAACTCCATTTCACTCCTTACACCCCTGCCATGCTTCTGGATTTTTGTCTGAGAGAAAGAAGAAGAAGAATCCTTGTTTGCCCGCTGAGCGATTTGCCCTAGACCACCTAACGACGGCCGACTGAATTTCAAATATGTTTAATTTTCTCCCGACCTCGTGAGGCTGATCGCCCCTCGTTACTACACCACGCACAATCAGGCTGAAAGTCACTCCGATCGAAGAATTGTCGCACAACCGGAGAATCGGCCTGAAAAGGGCAAAAATCGCACAGTGTAAAGGGCTGGTTATCCCTGCGCGGCACTGTGTCGCAGTGAGCTTGTCGCTGATATTTTTGATTCATGCCCAATATTGAAGCGTAGGACAATCAGGAACTAGCTGTGGGTCTAGATACGGCCGAGGCGGTGAGGAAGTGGAAAAATGCAGGTGGCAGGTTTTTGCAAAAACGGAGGGACATGAGGGCCAAAAAGAGCGGGGATCCAAGTTGAAAAAGGGTCCCAGCGTTCTCGCGCACCTCGCTCTACTAGCTGGTCCATCTTCAGGAGTCATTTTCCACTATGGCAAAACTTGCCTGTAACGTAGCAAGGCAAGGCAAATTTATTTGTATAGCACAATTCAGTACAAAGACAATGCAAAGTGCTTTACATGATTAAAATACAGGAAGATAAAACAGAATCAAAGCAAGTAGGAAAAATAAAATAAAATAAATAATATGTAAAAAAAATGCAGGAACAAAAAACAATATTAAAAACATTTGGACTAAAGAAAATATGTTTTAGTTGAACTGTTTAACTAGAACAGTCGAAGGCAATCCTAAACAAATGTGTTTTTAGTCTCTATTTAAAGGAACTCAGGCTTTCTGCACTTTTCCAGTTTTCTGGAAGTTTGTTCCAGATAAGTGGAGCATAGGAACTAAATGCTGCTTCTCCATGTTTAGTTCTGGTTCTAGGTATGCAGAGCAGGCTGGAGCCAGAAGACCTGAGTGGTCTGGAGGGTTGATACACTGATAGCAAGTCTGTGATGTATTTAGGTGCTAAGCCATTCAGAGATTTATAGACTAACAGAAGTATTTTAAAGCCTATTCTCTGAGATACAGGGAGCCAGTGGAAGGACTTTAGAACTGGGGTGATGTGCTCTACTTTCTTAGTCTTAGTGAGGACACGGGCAGCAGCGTTCTGGATCAGCTGCAGCTGTCTGATCCACTTTTTAGGCAGACCTGTGAAAACACTGTTGCAGTAATCAATTCAACTAAAAATAAACGCATGGATTAGTTTTTCCAGATCATGCTGAGACATTAGTCTCAGAGCGGATGTAGATTTGACCAATCAGAGGCCTCCAGTCTGCGGCACTGTTTGCGGTCACCTACAATTTTGGAGAGGTGCAGCAGAGGGTCTGTGGAAGGCGGGGCACATTTGCGTTCACTGCGACACACGCAGACGACCTGTTTTCTTAGTATAAATCAGCCTTAAGCCCGGCTTATCTGGCGGTCAGTTTAGGTAAAGTATTATGTCTCTGTAGGTTTGCAGAGTAAACACCACTTTATGTTTGGTATTATATTAAATTCTAGTAAGTTATACTTGAATTTCGAGTTGTAACATGATTACCTTTATGAATACCTTGAATAGGCCCTGTACCTACTATGACAGATGCAATATATTCATCAGCGTAAATGTAGTTCCTTTTTAATAAGTAGTAGAACAGATATACAGACGTGCAGAAGACACTGAGTTTAATGCTCTCTACTGAATGCAGTGCAGAGTTGGAGCGGTTCAATCATTTTAACAGCCATCAGTCTGCTTCTTGGCACTCTGCTGAGTGTTGCTCTATATGATGGTTGCATTTGCATGTCAGCACTCGTCTGCATGCGTGCAAGACTTGCTGCTCTCTGCCCTTCCTTAGTCTGCTCCTCTCACATAATCAATGACCTTTCTGTTTAAGGTGATGGATGATGGAGAAACGCAGTCTAAGCAAGCGTGTCGTCCGTTCTCCCCCCGTTCTCCCCCCCCCCCCCTTCCATTGACTGCCTTTCCTGTCTTCTTTCTCACAAGAGCTCCTGAAGGTCAACAGCTCACAGTCCTGTCAAGCTCTGCTGTGTGCATGTCTCGTTTTTTTGTTTTTTTGCTTGTGCATCCTTGACCAGCTTTTGGTGACCATTCATTGTCCATGTGGTTGATGTCTTGTCTTGTTGCTTTTGTCTCTGTCTCCTGTCGGTGGGTGTGTGTCCTCTCTCCAGGCCAGAGTGCAGAATGAGATCTTTGATTATAAGGACCTTGCAGCCCTGCCAAAGGTCAAGGCCATATATGAGGTCCAACAGCCAGATCTCATATCCTCCTCATACCAGCCGTACCACAGATACACCTCTGATGAAAGGCTAGACACTTTCAGCTATGGGGAGGTACTGCTGCCACACATGTCTCGTCCAATAAAACGTGTTGCTCCCATCATTTGTAAATTTTACGTTTTCAAACAGTAAACATCACTGAAACCATGACAGGGACAGGCTTTCAAACTGAAAAAATGTGCTTTAATTTATTCTAATTTATTTCATAGCTATGAAGTAACCACAATAGAAATGCCTCTTTTAATTTTCCAGTTAGTTTTTTTTTTTCTTATGAAAAAAATCAGAGCAATATATATTTATGGGGTTTAGGGATGTCCCAAACCATAGCTTTGATGTGTGTTTATACAGTTTTTTTTCTCCTCTGCATGCGAGAACGGGTAACTGAAAGTGTTGATAGGCTGTTATAAAAGCTTTTAAGAAGGATCACCAAAAGAAGATTTCACCCATAGAGCTTGGTGGAGTGGCAGAATCATGGTCTGGTGTTGGTTTTCTTCAAACTGAAGCCGGATTTTGTTTAAAGATGATAAAAGCTTGAACATTTGGATCTGACCCAAAAACTCCTGTTGCATGACTAAAATAAAACTAATAGCTTAACAAGAGATGCGCTGACAGTCGGAACGTTTTGGAGAACCTTGCCATTGACAGGGTTTTGAACAGAAAGATGATTCGACAAATTAGTTTAAAAAAAAAAATACCTGTGAAATCTGTTAGATTTGTTTCAGCAAAGATTTTTGTGCTTTTTCAGTTGAATTTTACACAGACAAAAAAATCCCACAGTGAACCCATCAATGTTTAAGTTGATCTAATTTTATGTAAAAAAGAAAAAAAAAACTCACCTGCTCTGACTCGCACATCTAGCTTCGCTTCTTTGTAAATGACTCTTCATGGCTCATCTGATTAGATATTCTGTAAAGCAGCTTGCTGAGAGGTTAGGCTAGCAGCATTTTTCCGCTACATTCAGTGTAGTTAATCATGTTGAACCAAACTCACTGGATACGTTATATCCCTGTAAAACGCTAAGCTAAGTTAATCGTATCACTCAGGTTTAGTTCTGCACATTTTTAATCTGGGATTACTCCCACCTAATCTGTTCAGGGGATTAGGGCTGTTCAACAGAACTTTTTTAGCTGATTTGGTGAAGCGACAACTAGTGCCCGCCTACAAAAAGTCTGGTTTTAGCCAATTATGGTAAAAAAGGAAATAGCAGCAGACGCAGTAATACACCTGAAACCTTAGGCTTTTACGCCCCTGCTGCAGATACGCAAAGAGATACGCAAACAGATGTGCAAACAGATACGCAAGCAGGTACGCAAGCAGATACGCAAACAGATACGCAAACAGATACTCAAGCATATACGCAAACAGATAGGCAAGCATATACGCAAACAGATACGCAAACAAATACGCAAGCAGGTACGCAAGCACATACGCAAACAAATACGCAAGCAGATACACAAGCAGGTACGCAAGCAGATACGCAAACAAATACGCAAGCAGGTACGCAAGCAGATACGCAGGCAGATACGCAGGCAGATACGCAAGCAGGTACGCAAGCAGATACGCAAGCAGATACGCAAGCAGGTACGCAAGCAGATACGCAAACAGATACGCAAGCAGGTACGCAAACAGATATGCAGGTAGGTACGCAAACAGATATTTAAACAGATACGCAAGCACATACGCAAACAAATACGCAAGCAGGTACGCTAGCAGATACGCAAACAAATACGCAAGCAGATACGCAAGCAGATACGCAAACAGATACGGAAGCAGATTCGCAAGCAGATACGCAAGCAGATATGCAAACAGATACGCAAGCAGATACGCAAGCAGATACGCAAACAGATACGCAAGCAGATACGCAAACAGATACGCAAGCAGATACGCAAGCAGATACGCAAACAGATACGCAAGCAGATACGCAAGCAGGTACGCAAGCAGATACGCAAACAGATACGGAAGCAGATTCGCAAGCAGATACGCAAGCAGATACGCAAACAGATACGCAAACAGATACGCAAGCAGATAACTAAACAGATACGGAAACAGATACGCATAGCTTACCTGCTATAATTACACACAAAGGCAACATTTACGGTACTCTGATACCAGCCATAAAGATGCCTTGATTTAAGAAGACATAAGAAATTGGCTCCAAACGCCTTCACCACTTTGATTCAACTCTTAGATTTCTGGTGATCATCTCAAGAACCAAATATACTGTTAGTACTAATGGCAAAAAATGTAAAATGCCTGAAATGTTTTAATTCCTTCACTGATGTGTTTCTATTATCGCAACAGTTATTAATGCTTTACTTGTGGTTATGTAAATAAACTGACACACAGAAGGACATTTATTTGATTTTATATATCTCTAAAATGTTACCTTCTGTCTCCATTGGCTCTGCAGTCCCTTGGGACTCTCTCTCCATATTCTCAGGTAAGCATTTTCACTTTTAATCCTAGTAGCAGAGCAAGTCCCAAAAACTTAACTGTTTTCACGATGTTGCTCATTTTTCTTACCCTCCTGTTTTCATCTGAAAGTTTTAGCCCTTCTTATTTGTCCCTTTAGGACTATGACAATCCGGATGCCAAGCAGCACCGGTTCTCCATTCCAGGTTATATTGACTCCCCGACATACAGTCGTCAGGGCATGTCACCCATCACGCCTCGCTCTCCGCAGCACTTTGGCTACCCCGGTGAGAAAAGTACAGTTTTTTATTCAAATTTTCCAAGCTCTTTAACTCGACTTAAAAACATTCTTGTTTGGGAATCAACACCAACTTCAATGAATTTTATTGGGATTTTCTTGTGATGGATGAACACAAATAAGTCAATGTTTTTAGATCAGAAGGAAAAATATAAAAAACTACACTACACGAGGGTATTCCAGGTAAACACAGTGCAGCCATGTTGGTTCTGCTTCAGCCTTTCGCCTCTGGTTGATGTGTTGAGATCATAGACGTCTCTGCATTTCATTGGTCCAAAACATTTCTTTATGGAGGCTGATGTTTCTGGCAGTATAGATTTTTGGGAGTTTGTGAATCAAATCTCGCAACAATTCATCTTGCTTATACGGAAACCAAGAGCGGCCGTACTCGCCTTTTTTTTCCCCTCGCTTTCTCGAGATAATGACATAACTATTGCGTTATCACAAGAAAAACATTTATTGATTTTTCAAGATAACGAGATGATTAACTTGTATGAGTAATGAATGAGGCTGGCCAACAGCCCTGGATTCCCAGTCCATCCATGCCTGCGGGGCCCGTTGTGCAGTCGCGATACCGCTGGGTTTAGTTTTTTTTATTTCCTTTCACTCATTGCCAGGTCATGGTGGATGATTGGACTGCATTGCATACAGTAGAAACAAATCTGACTGTTTTTTAATGTATATCTTTAATCTGGACTCAGTTTGGGAGCTTAGTACCCCATTTACACTACCCTAAACTGATCCATGCCGAGACCGGTCCGAGCTCGGATCAGTTAACCAGGCCGAGCTCGGTTCTGACGACCGTTTAAACATCACGCTATCTCGGTTTCTCGCCTCCTAGTGACGATCTGCGGTATTACTGCCAGTATTGAGGGAGGAAATCAAGCAGTTGGTGGCGGTAATGCACCAAAAGTTGTTGGCCAACCGCCCTAAAACACAAGAAGAAGAAGACGAAGAACAAGGGAATCAATCAAATCAAAATGGCGACGCCCGTCACATTCAGAAAGTTATGCTTGATTATTATTGCTGTACTTCGGTGTTATTATTTAAAATGTTGCGTGGAGAAGATTTCGATTGTTGTTTATAGTTGTTCTTCTTCTTCTGTTTTGTGTTGGTTGGCAAGCAACGTCCGGAGAGGCATTATCGCCAACTACTGGAATGGAGTGTGAATCGCGATGTGCAGCCAGACGGAGATGACGCGTTCTGCTCATGCGATATTGTTCCACCTCTGGAACTGGTCTGCAGTTATTGTGGTTCGGTTGTGTCTAGCCCGGTTCAGTTCAGTTTGCTTTCCATTTAAACACCATAAGTTATCTCAGTTACTGAGCTCGGACTGGTCTCGGCGCGGTTTTTCAAGGGTAGTGTAAATGGGGTAAATGCATCTTGCACCCGTTACAGGCGTAACACCGGGGCATTGAAGGCATAGGTCTAATTGCTTATAAATCAGAAGTGAAAGCAAATCATCAAACCAACGTCGTCTCGTTACCTAAAAGTTAAACACAGGATTATTTACAGGATTACACATAGGCTGCCATGATTTATATTTCAATCGTTCTTTTTGTTGTCTTCTTCTCGTTTAATGTCAGTTATCCAACAACTTGTAGATGCAGTACTGCCACCAACTGGTAAGGAGTGGAACTGCTTCACTGGAGCTTTATAATCATATACTTTTGAGTCTTACTTGTAGATTAGTATTTTTGCTCGTAAATTTGTGATTTATACTTTAAAGTTGTAACTTCTAAACTCGTATTATCACAGATGAAATATCGGATGTCACATGTATGTATGAGCTGACAACAAGGAACGAATACATATCTTAAATTTTATTCTTTATCTTGAAATACATGAACTTCAGACAACGATATAAATGTTTTACTTATATCAATCCTGCCCAGTAGATGATTGGGGAACAAAGCAGGAACTGGTGAGAGTTTAAGCAGTGCAACATGCAGGTTAGGCAGAGAGAGACTATTAGAAATGGCATGTTGTTAAATCATGCTGATTAGAGACTTTGTAGCGAAGGCTTTTTGCCATGAAAGTATAAAAACCAGGTAGGACGTGTGACAACATGAGTCAAAACGAATCCCTATAAAAAACATTGATGTTTGTGCTGATAAACTGACAAATGTATAAAAGTATGAGGGTATGTGGCAATGTGGAGTTATTAATATTTATTACAAAACAAATGGGCATGTAATCCTTACTTTCATATATTTTTTATTAGTCCCAAAAGCCCTAAATGAGGTGACAGTATAGCTGCACCCTCTGAGGACAGAATGTTGCTATACTTGTTTGGCTGCTTCATTTGCTCCTTTGCTTACATTTCATGTTACTCTTACGCTTGTGCAGTGATACTATTGAATCTGCAATTGGAAACGTTCTTTAAACAAACCTTGTAGTATCTTACATTACACAAGTGGAAAAGTTATTCAGGTTCATTTGCTGATAATAACAGGAAATCTGAGTGCATTCATTTGCATGTCAACATCTTTTCCTCATGTTCATGTCTCCTTTACTCTGATTGGCTGTGGCTGGCTGCAGGCTCTGAGAGTGGCAGGAGTTCGCCCTATTATGGCCAAGATGGGCGATCAAGCACACCCACCACAAACCAGCCCCCTAAACATTTTCATGTTCCAGGTAGGCCTCCACATCTCCCCAACTGTAGCCTCCACCTCCCCCAACTATTTTGTTTCCTTTCAGCGGATCTCATAAATCGCAGTTTACTAACAAGAAATTAACCTGACGGTTAAAGTTTTGCTGATGCTGAAATTAATTCCAGTTGCCCTCTTTTGTGTGTCTCAACCTCCTCCTGTTAACCTCAGCAAAAATTCACAGCCTTCTTGCTCTTGCACGTTTCACCTCTTCATCTCCTGTTTCTCTCCTCAGCCACAGAGGACCCCAACATCTACAGGAAGCCGCCCATTTATAAGAGAACGGGTACAGTTCAGTTAGTCCCGCCTCAGCCTGCCCCGTCCCGTTCGTTTAGTTGTTCCATGGTGGTGCTCTTCGACTTTTGTGATGCTCCTCAGCATCATCATCAGTCATATCCCCGCTTTGCAGCAAGAATTCAGAACATTCAAAGCAGAGTCCTGCACGGGTCTGATTTTTCAAAAATGTATCCACCCGCACTCGTAGAGTTCTGATCCAAGACCCAACCCGTTACCGCAATTATCAATTCAGTTCAATTTCCGTTTATTTCTATAGCACCAATTCACAACAAGTCATCTCAAAGCACTTTAGAGTTCACCAGATCATCCAGTCAGATTGATTGAAAGTTTTCTATCTAAGGAAAACCAGTTGATTGCATCAACTCATTGACTCGAAGGCAATCCATCAAACTGAGCATGCCTGTAGCGACAGTGGAGAGGAAAACCCCCTTTTAACAGGAAGAAACCTCCAGCAGAACCAGGCTCAGTGTGAGCGGCCATCTGCTGAGGCCGACTGGGGTTCAAGGAGACAGAAGCAGACATAGAAAAAGAAGCATAGATACAAAAGGCAACTGTCAACCAGCTCCAGAGGGAGCCCTGTCCAGGAAACACACAGCCAGGGAGACGAGCTCCGAGCCAGCTCCCATGTCAGAGGATGAAGAGAGCACATCCAGTTAGTCACAGTCAGAAAAACAGGACTACACTGGAAAACAGGCCGACCTCCAACATCTAGAAACAAAGGTGTTGATGGCAGCAGCACAGCTGATATTTCTCTCCAGGATGGAGTCACAGCCAAACAGGAACAGACCAGATGAAGCTACTATGAGAAAAAGCAGAGAGAGCAGAACGTTAGAGATTGAACTAATAGATTCTGCAGAGTGGGAGAATAGAGATAGAATGAAGCAGAATGATGAAAAAGCCTATGTCCTCCAGCAGTCTAAGCCTATAGCAGCATAACTATAGAGATAGCTCAGGATAACCTGAGCCACTCTAACTATAAGCTTTATCAAAAAGGAAAGTTTTAAGCCTAGCCTTAAAAGTAGACAGGGTGTCTGCCTCACGGACTAAAACTGGTAGTTGGTTCCACAGGAGAGGAGCCTGATAACTAAAAGATCTGCCTCCCATTCTACTTTTAGAAATTCTAGGAACCACTAGTGAACCTGCAGATTGAGAGCGAAGTGCTCTGTTAGGAACATAAGGAACAATCAGATCTCTGATATAAGATGGAGCTTGGCCATTTAAAGGAATAGTACACCCAAAACATTATTAGCCTTCATTTTCTACTCACCCCCATGCTGAACAACACTCTGGAGTACTTTTTTGATATCTCAAATGCATCTGGAGATCTGGGAGGCTTCTTGCTGTCTGCTGACATTCAAATAATGGAGGTGCCCAGCGCCTGAGGCAGAAAGGTCCATAAAAGTCCACAAAAAACGTGTCAATATTCCTCCATACTGCTCGTCCAATGTATTCCAAGTGTCCTGAGTGGGTAGCGTCCAGAATTTACTCGAAACAAAGTCATTTAGAATGTTTTTAGATTTCCTAAAAGCGCGCACCTGCGCGTTCACGATGCTACGGAAGCCGGCAGACCAAACCAGATGAAAGTGCGCATTCAGCGTCTGCTCTGCCGATAATGCAAGCGTAGAAGAAGAAATGTGCTGTTTACCTGTGCAAAGAAAGAAACAACGAAAGAAAAATGTCTGAGGACTTCAGTGTTGAGGAAGAGCATGAGTTCTTTGCCAAGCTGAATGCGCACTTTCATCTGGTTTGGTCTGCTGCGGTTTCCGTAGCGTCGTGAACTCGCAGGCGCGCGCTTTCAGAAAATCCTATACACTACTGTTTATGCTCTAAAAACATTCTAAATGACTTCGTTTCGAGTAAATTCTGGATGCTACCCACTCAGGACACTTGGAATACATTGGACGAGCAGTATGGAGGAATATTGACACGTTTTTTGTGGACTTTTATGGACCTTTCTGCCTCAGGCGCTTGGCACCTCCATTATTTGAATGTCAGCAGACAGCAAGAAGCCTCCCAGATCTCCAGATGCATTTGAGATATCACAAAAGTACTCCAGAGTGTTGTTCAGCATGGGGGTGAGTAGAAAATGAAGGCTAATCATGTTTTGGGTGTACTATTCCTTTAAGGCTTTATATGTGAGAAGGAGGATTTTAAATTCTATTCTGGATTTAACAGGAAGCCAATGAAGAGAAGCCAGGATAGGAGAGATATGATCTCTCTTTTTCATTTTCATCAGAACTCTGGCTGCAGCATTTTGGATCAGCTGAAGGCTTTTAACTACAATTTGTGGACTTCCTGAATTATCCTCATTTAAAATGTGGCCGGGACCACTCTGACCCGTAAATAATAAAGTGCAACTCAACCCTCGATCGCAGAGTATAGCTACACACAGCTGTTCATAATAACAGAGGCAGAAAAGATCATTATGTCACGCTCACATGTAGTACACGCTGTGCTCACAGATTTAAAGCTGTAAATTTGCTGAAATAAGAAGGCTTGCCTCACTGTTTTCTGGATATTCTTCATTTTTTTTAAAGAAAGTATAAAAAACAAATCATCTTGTTTATTTATACCTGTTCCTGCACCCATCCAAAAAATATGGGGGGGTTTTCTACGCGTAGATGTATGTTTTATAGGGGCACCCGACCCGGTGCAGGACTCTGATTCCAAGGCGCTTGCTTAGAAGATCGGGGAGATCATTTGGATTTGTGAAAAGTTTCTAAACGTGGAAGAGCATGCTGAAAGCTTTACCACCCTGCTTCTGCATACAGTCAACGACAAGTTAGTGGTAGAAAGTAAAAGCAGAGGACCATGAATGAACGACAGGCATGAAGTGTGTGCCGTATCATCTGAGAACAGAACAGAGCCATTCAGAAAACAGCTGGAACTGAATTCCTTTTTAAATAGTTTACTTTGGAGCCAGTTTACTGTGTTTCATGTTGGATATTCTAACTCTGCATTTGTGTTTTCTGCTTATCCGACCGTCACAGAGGCAGAGTTAACACAAGATGCTTTTTAGCCATTTTCACAAATCATTAAACTCTAATGTTATTCAGCCATCTGTACAGCATGCTTCACTACATATTCAAAAGATTCACAGTCCTCTCGTAACGCTGCACTCCAAAAGGCTTTTGAGCTGAGAGCCGTACGATCTGCGGACTGATGATGGTTTATCTCCGTCCTCGTTGCGCATGCCTGTCTGTGCTGTGGGTTATTGGGTTTGTTGGACGTTCTCTTCCTCCTCTGTGTCTCAGCTTAAAGCATAATTTCATCACTGGTCACAATGTTTCTATAGAAAGATACTTTTCTTAATAAATAATTGTTATTTGCTTCTTGTATTTATTCTTAAATATGTAAAATAGATACCTAATTTGTTTCTCAGCTGCTGAGCAGAACATCAGTTTACTAGAAATCCTTTCTACACATGCAGTAATTTAAAAAGTTAAAAAGTTTAAGGTTATGTTGGTCAATGAGGTGCAATTTGATATAAAAATAATCTGTAGATGTCTGCAAAAAGCTTCTAATTCAATCCCTGTATTCCAAAAAAGTAAAAAAAAAACATAACCTGGATGACTGATGCTACGTTCAGACTGCAAGCAGCAGAGGCAGCAGAAGCAGCTAGTTTACATGCGTCTCGATGCTGTGCATGAAGATGCAGCAAAAGTTCCCGCAGCGCGTCTTAGCAGCTAAAGCAGCGCCTCATGAGTGTTGGGTTCAAAAATGTAGGTTTGTAAAAGAAGAACTAAAATACACAGTAAGGGATTTTCATACGGCTTCTGCAGAAGGAGAGACAATTGAACCCCAGACTCAAACAGACTGCCTCCCACTGGACCTCCTCTGCAGAGCATTTTATTAACAGCACATGACACATGGTTACAAACAGAGTATTGTTCTGACAGAACAATTGATGAGTTCATAAAGAGAGGATGCTCCCCTCTTGACTGAATCACAAGGCAGTGTGGTCTCCTGACTGAATCATGAGACAGGAGTGGAGCATCTCATTTCTACAATGTTTCATATGAACACACATTACTGTAATAATCATCATTGAATAAACCTAACAATGAGCTTCTGAGCATCTGATGCTCGCAACGTGCTTCACAAGCAGCAGATGCTGGAGTTGGAAAAATTAAACTTTTGCTGCTCAACCAATCAGAGAAGCTGATCTAAGAGCTGGCAGGGAAACAGACACAGCACTGCTGATGCACAGCGCTATGATCACTCCTGTGAAACAGTTTATTAACGCCTAAATTAACTTAAAATATCAAAACTTGAAGGCCAAATTTGTTTGCTTTTATTATTCTGGTGCCTGCAGTTTGGATTTCATACAGGTGCTGGTCATAAAATTAGAATATCATGAAAAAGTAGATTGATTTCAGTAATTCCATTTAAAAAGTGAAACTTGTATATTATATTCATACATTACATACAAACTCATATATTTCAGATGTTTATTTTGTTTAATTTTGATGATTACAAATGACAACAAATGAAAATCTCAAATTCATCATATCAGAAAATTAGAATATTACTGAAGACCAATAAAAACAAAGGATTTATAGAAATGTTGGCCAACTGAAAAGTATGAACATGAAAAGTATGAGCATGTACAGCACTCAGTATTTAGTTGGGCCTCCTTTGGCCTGTATTACTGCAGCAATGCGGCGTGGCATGGAGTCGATCAGTCTGTGGCACTGCTCAGGTGTTATGATAGCCCAGGTTGCTCTAATAGTGGCTTTTAGCTCTTCTGAATTGTTGGGTCTGGTGTATTGCATCTTCTTCTTCACAATACCCCATAGATTTTCTATGGGGTTAAGGTCAGGAGAGTTTGCTGGCCAATTAAGCACAGGGATACCATGGTCCTTCAACCAGGTACTGGTAGCTTTGGCACTGTGTGCAGGTGCCAAGTCCTGTTGGAAAATGAAATCTGCATCTCCAAAAAGTTGGTCAGCTGCAGGAAGCATGAAGTGCTCTAAAACTTCCTGGTAT